CACGATATTCAAGATATCACAGTATATTTTCATAGAGGAAACTGCTCCCAATTCAGCTGAAAACACTTCGACACCACACGACCGATTTCGATTTTCTTGGGGCTCACCAAATAGGCGCAGTCCCCTAGTTTCCGTCAACCTAATGTTCTACTTGAACCCGAATGGAATTTTTTTGAGAAATACATATTCAGTTGTAGAATATCATAAACGAGAGATTCAGTTAAGTCTCTGGCGAAAAACAAATTGATTTGTAAATGAGTGTATTTTTCTCGAAAACAGTCCAATTTGGGTTCAACTAGAACATAAGGTTGACGGAAACTCGGGGACTGCACCTACCTGATGAGCCCCAAGAAGGGCAAAACTGGTCGTGGGCTGTCGAAGAGTTTTCAGCAACCATGTGAGTAGTTTCCTTCATGAAAAAGTAGCGTGATGTTATTGAACGTGGATTTGTTGTAAAGTCATTCTTGACATCGTTTTCGAGAAAGTTTGGTGACAATCGGTAGATTTATTGCTGGGCAACGTTTCGCTTTTGACACAAAAGCTTCGTCAGGCCAAAGGTCACAGCATCCCTCCTACACAACTTTCTTAGCACTAACTCACCCACACAGACTAATAGAAGGTCCAAACGAATTTCAAGAGGAACCATCAATGAACCGAACCAGAAGAACTAGACCCTAGGCAGGACCCAAACACATGTAGGTTTCCCCACCGACCCAACACTTGTTTAACCACTCTAACACACTAAACCCCTCGGCCGACATCCAACAGAGGTTTAGCATAACTTAGCTGATTGGTTCTCCTTCCGCTTTAAATCTCGATCAACCTCGGAACCTAGTCACTTGGCCTGACGAAGCTTTTGTGTCAAAAGCGAAACGTTGCCCAGCAATAAATCTACCGATTGTCACCGAACTTTTTCGAAAACGATGACTACCCAATCGGTTTCAAGTATTTTCCACGTGATTGATCATTCTTGACATCTTTTGGAAGCTTGCAGCTACCAAGATGTCCTGACAATACCATGGGATGTTGACGTGAAGACGAGGGTTTCTGGCTTCTCCTGTGATAGCCACTTGCAATCGCAGAAATCCTGGCTGACGTGGAGGCTACTTGTGACCATTAGACTGAGGGTTGGGTTGCGCCGTTTGAAACGGCGCACGCAACGGAAAATCTCTAGCCATACTTCGGTGAGTTGTTATATCCTTATTTGGAGTATACAGACTATGAACCATGCCACTGCATGTCCTAAAGGAAAAGAGCACAACTCCACGTCTTAGATGGCAGCTTTGAATCAGAATGAACATTTCAGTCACCAGTGCAGCTGACAATAATGGTCCATGTTTTATCTGGACCAAATCGATCAATTTATCCGCTCCTTATCCTTTGAGCAAACACTCCTGACAGCAGAATATCACTGACATTTTATGTATTCCTTATCGTAATCCATCTAGTACCCTTGGGAAGATCCTCAAGATAGAAACATTTGCACCAAAGAGAAACAGATGCATGGAATGTTTTTCACGACCAACCACTTTGAACAAACAAGCCTTCCAGAGGCGAAAACTTCGACCCCCCAAAACTGATGATGTGCTTTCTAAGGGAATTGTCGCTTTCCGGTGACAGTTTATTAACTGACTGTAACTTCAAATAGTTAGTATCTCAAGCAGTCAGTTACCCGGCACACTAGTGGACGAGAAAGTTAATGCAGCTGAGGGAAAGGATCAAACAAGACGGCCGTTAAGTGCCCTTCGAATTTTCAGTAACCATCGTTTTCGTTCTCGTGTTGGAGTTCGCATTTGTAATAATTTAGCGTCATTATTGGTTTATGAACAATTTAGACCTAGATAATACGGACTGAAAACCAAGATCCAACGTGCCTGTGTAAATCATAAGGTTGTAGTACTATTGATTAAATGAAAAATTCTACCCAATTCTCATGGGAGTGGTTGGCAACTACACCCGAATACAAATGAAATTTACTAATTTAGTGCAGTAATCATGCAGTTCTGCTCTTAGTATCCATCACTTCGCGAAGAGACATTTCAATCGATGAAACATTCCGAAAGTTCCCAGTGTGTTCTCAGTGGGCGCAGCGCTGAAGCACGTTTGGTCATTAGCAATAAATTTGAGCAAATTATCAGTCTGCTTCGGTTGTCCGGTCTTCTGTCTAGTAGGTTGCTATGACGATTACACGGGCTAATGAGTTAGAAAGCAGAAAATTCGGTTCACTTTTCCATTATCATGAAGGTTCTCAATGACGAAAGTAATCATGCTCGAAGAAGTTTTATTTCGGAGATTTAGTAAGAAACTAGCCGAATAAGTTTTCTTTCACTTTCGTACACTCGATTACCATTGTCTTGAGTGTTTCTCATACGTCTGTATTAATTTGCACAGTCGATAACAAAGGTTAGATATCCGTGGGTCGTATTCAAAACGGTTTAGGCACTTGAGAATAGTAAAATCACTAAATGCCTGTAAATGTTGGATTTAATATCAATACTTATATGGACAAAAAGAACCGGGAACAGCCCCTGGAAGCAAAGTAGCACATACAAGAATGGGCTTGATCGTGACTGGGCATGGTCCGGTCACACATGTGATGTTTACACGATAAGTGATAGCCATAATATTCCTCAACCTGTCTGGAAAATAAGCATCGCTAGTGTAATCAGATCCGTTGTTGATTCGGTTCGCCTTCGAATAATCCGATTCATTACTGCAAGCGAAATTTTGGCCACGCCTCCCCGGAGGCGCGTGGAAATATTTCCGTTTGCTTTGCCTACCCGATAGGCCTGACTGTAAAATGACGCCACAGGGCAACTCAGACTGTTTAGTACACCATTCGTGAACGGGAAACTGAATCAGAATTATATGACTTCAGCTTGGCAACTTGATAGGCGATAAGGTCTTGTATTTCTCCATGAAATACATGAAGCAAACGTGGCCACACAAAAAAACTTAACGACGTTCACTGAACACGACCAGCAGCAAATGCGACGGGCTGATTCTCATTCAGCCTTCACTGCATGTGACCATAAAATACACATAGAAATTTGGAGATAATATGGTGAGGAGCGCGCGCGAAAATATCTGTTACGTGACATAACAGTATTCAACCACCCAAAGTTATCACCCTGCCTAAGGGAAGTTCAGTTAATTCCGGTCATGTTGTCTCAGAACCCCGACGAACAGCTAAGGTAGGCTTTCTTGTGCTGGCTTGTTTCATGACTATCTGTTCTGGTTTAAGACCGAATTCCTACTCAGTTTGGTAGTCACGTGATTTTAAAAGTTGGTACGCCTTAGAACTTGTACCTTACTGATAACCACTATCACCATCAGCGTCATCGTCGAAAAACAAAACATCATTGTTTGACGCTGATTTTCTGTTGCCGTGCATTTTCGGTAATCTTTTTGAGAGCCCAGTACCTGGCTAACCGGTTAAGCTTAAAAAAGCGTGAAACCGATAGAGAGCCGCTGAGAAGTTGTCAGCAACATAATGGGTATTATTCTGCCAAGGAAAAAAAACAGAAACCTTTGTCGTAACATGGCGGGAATGAACAATCAATTTGCCCAGCCTGCTGGTCTTTTCATTTACCGATTTCTTGGTGACCCTGTCTACAGTTTATTAACAACTCGTAGTAGAAATGATGAAGCTGGAACAAACAGAGTATTCTGAAAATTCTTGACTCTTCTTAGGCCGGATTTTTTACAAATTCATAAAAGTCGACCGTTTTGTGTGAAGTTTTTCGGAAGTGCCATGATCCTTCGGATCCCAGATGAGTATAAAATGAATTCCCTAACCCAACTTCACTTTTGGCTTGATATGGAGAGTATCCACGTTCTCATCTCCGATTGAAGTTTCCTCTCATTTTTATGGTATTATGTGATTGAGCTTTACTGATATTTAAATTGTATAAAATCTTACCACAGTTCTGTCTTTGGTACTCAGCTTCTAAGCTACAATTCTACCACGAAATCAGAAGTGATTTAACCCTACGTGTTATTGGATATGAGATGACACAACGCAGTGAGATATCCAAAGAGAAATTAAGATCCGGAACAAAATCTCACTCATATTTGCGGCCATCTTGTGTGAACAGAACTCGGGAAATATGGGGATGTTTGGAACTCAGGTGTTTTCAATGCGGCATGGCTTCGGAACCGTGTTAAAATCAAAAGTTTCCAATCGTTGTCGGGGAGCAGCCAATGCATCTAGTTGTCTATTAAAGCAATCCTACAAGTCTATGTCGGGTACTTCATTCTTACAGACGCCAGAATCCCCTTTATGTTTATGTGTATTTATGTATGTATGTATCAGAATCCACTCAAACCCACACTGATGATGTCATCTCGATTGGTGATGAAACGTTTGTAACCTAACTGCCAAACTCGGCGGAGAGACCAGCAACCAAAGTATTAGGCATTTTGGAAACCGATGTTTTCAACAAGCTGAGTAAACAAAAATATCTGCACTGTGTACTTTTTGAATGAGGAATTTTGCATCGATCGGCTATTACTGAGGGCATCTCATTAGTAAAAAAAATTGGTACCGGAGGAAATCGTTCTTGTGCGTGAACTGTTCAAATTACAGAGGATCCTTCTAAAGAGGACTGATATGCACGATAGAGTCGTATCTTTTAGCAGCCTTCTGCAAATCATCCAAACTTGTCTTGATTTTCAAGTTGTCTTCTCAAACTGGTCCATTACCGCCCTGTGTGTGTATGTGCACACAAGTACCCGGGTGCACTCGGCTATTCAGCGTATGTACAATCACATCGGCCTATCAGGGACGGACACTGTGGGTATGGCCGCACACACACGCGGTCGAGTTGCTGATTTCCGAAACGCTCCAACAGCATGGACGCTTCATGCATGCGCGCAAACAAATAGATTGACACACAGGTAGATGGGACCGAATGGATAAGCCGGAGGACCATAGTGTGATGAATTTAACTATCCCCACCACGTGGACACCCTAAAACAACCAAGAAGCCACTTCAGCATTGAGTTTGTGATGGAACCGGCATGTACCGGTTATTGATGACACCGGTTTGGTGAGAAATGTTCCCGGTAAACCTTCTCGAGGTCTGAGGGACGCATTCCATCATCCTGGCTACCTGTAGTGTACGCGGCAAAGTACAGAACACAAACTTTTTTTGCCCTGCATGAACTGTTGGAATTACCTCGCATCCTGCTAATTGCCTTTTTCGGTGAGTCCTGGCTGTGAGAATTTAACACCCATCTATTTTCCTGTCCCGAGGGAAGCATGAGAAAACAGCCACGTGTAACTTATTTTTCCCCAGAAGTGAAGAAATATATCCCGATCAAATAAACAACCCTGGTATAATAAAAATATGTTCCATAACCTGGTTGGTTATAAACAAACCCGTTGGATCCCATGACGATGTTGTTGAGGATAAATGTGGACATGAGCTTAAGGCCTATGACCAAACCCTTTTTCGCTGTTTCTCTATAGAGGGTACTGAGGTTTGAAGATTAATCCAACTAGATGTGTTGACAACTTTTGGTCATTTTGAGTTGCCAGTGTCAGGTAAGCTGTCAAGATGAATCGTTATCAAGTTGTTCTAACGTTACTGGTCGTGTATTTTCTTCATGATATCGGACAGCATTCCATATGTATGCGAGAAGCACATATTTACATGTAAATTTCTTTGATTTAACATTGCCCGTTGATATTTATTAAAACGGGGTCACCAAAAGATGGAATTTATTCAGGGGAATGCTATAAGAACAGTGGTCACTCCGCGTTTACAGAAAGTAAAATATGCGAAACAAAGAGCGTGGGGCTGTGCACCTGGCAGCCTGCAGCATCATCGGATTCGAGGTCAGGTCTGAGATGGCGTGCGAAAAGTTTGGATTTCATACATCCTCCATGCGATGACTGGGGCCATCACCTAGCAGAGGCGGTTTTGACGTACGAAGACAAGAACTGCGGTGAACGTCATAGTCCAAAGCTTGGATATGGATAAAAATAGACCACATACAAACCAATTCTTCCATATCGACGACTGAGACTCATTCACTCCGTCTACTGTATTTATCATTTGTGACTTACGGCCAAACATGTTTTTTGCATGGTTCATCCGTTGTCACCTAATGATATGAACCATCCCAGCTAGCAGACAACCTTGCGCAGTTATTGCAGTGTGCTGCGAAAAGTTGTTTTTGGTTCTTAATTGTAGAGAAATATCAGTATAATTGGCCGATACACATGCAAGTTGACGCCGTCGATTATTGTAAGTAATTGATAAATGTTACTTATTGTGAAAAATCAACGGGAAATGGAAGTGGACAACCAAGGCTAGCCAGAAAAGGGGACTGATACCTCTCTTAAGTTGTCATTATATACACAATTCCGGACTGCGTGAAGGGAATATGGTACAACCAAGGCCGTGTGAAATTGAAGCCACCCAGCTACTTTTAGTGCAGCGGCCTAAACCAAAAGAATGAAGAACTAACAGTGGTGTGATATCTGTTAAGTGACTGAGTTATTTTCTTCAACACACGTTAAAAACACATTGAAGCTCTATCAGCACCATCGATTTCATCCTTTGTTATCTAATGCTATCTAACCCAACTTTTTAAAGCGTGGTTTTAAGATGGTCACCTGTTGAGTTTGCTATTATTTTCGATTTGGAACGCAGCGAAGCTCAAAATATCACTTTGGGTACACAGAGCTCACATTTGAGGCACTATTAAGGCTACCGAACTGATCTACTCGATGCCTGTCTTTGTTATTGACAGATACAACCAGTGTTCCAACGTTCCTGGTTCTTTTGATGTATTATTTCCTTGATGTTATCAACACGATACTGTCTTAAACAATCTTCATTCTGCCGTCTTCGGTAGGCAGGAGACGTTTACATTTCACGGAGCAAATGAACTAAACGATGAGTGAATTGTAACAGAACGTGTCCTAGTTGAACGCTTCAGTTAATACGGAGAAAAGGCTCCGTGTGACGATACCACAGGAAAGTTGGTAGGAGCGCTTGGGAAACTAAAAGGGCTCCTCAGTATGCGTCTAATGTTCAGGAGTTTCCAGAAATCTCTCCCAGCTGCTCCTCACTTGACATATGAACGTGAGGATGGTCCCATGGCTGAATGAAGTGTGGTGGAGCACAGAATCCAGTCAAGAGGGGTCTCTCACATATGAAATCACGAGAAGGTTTTGCACTTAGTTTTGAAGTGACACTGGTAGCGTCTCACACCGTTCCAAGTTGTCGAATGATCTTTTAAAAGCTTCGTTTATATTCAGTCAAAATTATTAAACATTCAGAGGAAAGGGATACCATTTTGCTGGCTGTTTGTCTTAAGTCGAAAACTAATGAAGTAAAAATAGCATGGCAATAAAAAAACTTTACACGACATATTCCAAAACGTGCTATATTGATCTATGGAGCATCTCAAATGATTGCATACTTTAACCATAAATGGTAATATTCAGCGTGCTGAACACATGAAGCTGCCTTTGTAACTATCCAAAAGGAACATGGGACCGACCAAATTTTTTTATTTTCAAAGGAGTTGCCTCTGTGGAACTCATTAAGTGAAGGCATTAGGATATACATTAACTGAGCGTTGTCTTCTAAAAGAGCCTTCAGGTTTAAATACCTTGATGTTATTCCAAACCGGTTAACTGAAAAATATATCTAGGAAGATCGTTAATGCTTTCTTTGTCGTATTCGCACTTTGGAAATTAGTAGCCTGCAATGTTTTCGGCCGTAGTTTACCCCATCTACAGCATCAGTTTTGTACGCAGATCATCTGTGCACAAAACAAGTTATCAACTTCTGAACGAAGCTCACATTTTTACAGACAAAGTTTGGTTATCTGTTTGTTTCCCCTCATCTCTGGGGGCAAGAATTATCCGGTGTCAAGTAGACTAAATTGGCGTATGACTAGTCGGGAAGGCACCAGTTTCATTATTGTACGATTCATGTTTCGGCGTGGCCTCTGGTACGGCCTGGTTGGACAAGTATTCAAAAGCAAGGTCCGTGATTCTCAAAACCAAAGATTTTGGTTAACTTGTCTTGGTCCAATACATTTTCCCTCGTCCTAGCATTTGCAATTCCAAAAACTATCTGCCAACATCTTGAGTGCAACCAGGGGATACAAGCATCTGTACCACCTAGAACCTTATTCATTTTTAAGCCCGTTAACAGGTGCTCTCTTACGCAATGCAGTACAGGGTTACACAAACCGCCGCACCAGGATTAGGTCCAACAAAACTGTGACTATTCATGTCCACTTTCCTCTTAGTCAACATAAATCTAACGGTTCTTCCAAATAGTGATGAAATTCTTTATCCTGTTGTAGTGTATTAAGTTTCCTCAGTGTACCAACTACTGAAAAATTTGTGGCAGCCAAACATATGGGAAAATACGTATGATTAAATTTTAACAGTTTACTTGGTTTAGCACGTGTTCTCACCACAAAACCAACTACTGGGTTCGCAATGCACACAAACCTCTACAGACTCATTATTCACTTTCAATGAAGGCCATATGCAACTTTCATTACTTTATTAACACAGACTAAAGAAAACTCTATGGTTGGAACCGCAGAGACGTCATAATAAGTGACTGGTTCCAAACGACTATCGAACGCTTCTGTTGTTTATTTACACATAACAGGAATGTGACGTTTCTGGTGTTTGGAATTTTTTCAGTACGCGGGCTTGACACCCTACATTTACCATACAGTCATGTCATATCACACCTAATAATCTCAGACCATTTTCCAATGACCCATTTGTTCACATTTTGAGAAGACGAAAGGCGTACTACTTGTCCGAAGATTGCCGCAATAGAATGTGAAAATGTATACATACTCGACTGAAAACGGCGATATATCGATCATCGTACCAGCTGGAACGACCTTTATGCATCACATTAGGAATAACATAAACGAGCGATTCCTTACTCTACTGTGAAAGCCCGGTTGATGTGCAAATGAGTGTATTTTTCAATACGCTATTCCATACACTATTACTTGTCTATTTTTACCAGGAAAATCAGTCGTCAAAGTTGCGGGCTGTGGACCTATATGTAGACAAGAGGGAATGCCTTTCTCCCGAGAGCCATTAAAGCTAAATACCCTTTGAACACCAGTTTCATATCAAAAACGCATTCCGATACACGGATTCCCTGCTTCGCTGGTCCATTGCCTTTTATCCATGACTGGATATTACTCGCCAAAAATGCACCTAGGTTTTCAGCCGTAGTATGCATGTGTCTGACCGGTCATTTCATTACTGAATTAGGGGTTTCTGGACTGACTAAAACGCCAGACATGTTGTACAGCACTACTCCATGAGGTCATTTTTTGATAGCGGTGTTTTTCCGTAGTAATTTACCATCAACAAGGCTAGCACAGCATCCCTTCTGTACTGAGGTACTGAAGGTTCATTTTTTACCTGTGTTTTGGCAGTTTCCATGATGGTTGCCTGAAATTACTCATTTTTACGAAATAATTACGTAAGATTCAGATCCTTGTTTATCGTGATTAACTATTACTGATACAGTATGGTGAACCTGTGTACTCGTCTTCATCGTATACTGAAGTTACTTCTGTCTGGCAAAAAATGGATATAAAACACATCATGGACCACCGTGAAAACAGAACCAATAATTATGTTTGGTACTGATGAACTGGTTTTTGTGCCTTGTTTTGTTTAGTCGGCCGCGCATAACAAAAAAATGTTCTAACGTATGGTATGGTATGGTATTGTACAAATATCCTAGACTAAATTAGTCGCTATGTTAGCATTCCTCCAGCGGACGTGGGTGGATGGTGTATAGAATATGCTTGTGACAAACTGCTCGAAATGGCACTTTGATAATAAATAACGTTTGGTGGCCTATGGCATTCTTATCGACCTGTTTTGTTTAGAGCTGGCAAGTAGAAAATGCCTCTTCTTAGGCAGTTGAGACTAAGATTCTTCGAGTTAGGGGTAAAGTTAAAGAAAGATTCATATCTTCGCAATCACTGTCTATTGATAGAGTGTACAGTCTCAGATTAAGTGCCGCAGTCCATTTACTAGAATAATTACTGTTTTCTTTTTGTGCCGCCTGTTCAACTGTTCTTCAGTGTCCACCTGTTTTCTAATATTTTTGAGCCTCTTAGTGAGCTCCCGTTCACGTATAGACATATGCATGGCTGATGAATTGTGTGTATTGAAGTGTATGTA